ACTCCCGGGATCCATTTAGGGCTATTGGCCAATTGTGCTACCGTGTAATGGAAAACCTCAAAGATAAAGCCACCTGGAACCTTAAGCGAAGCTTGAAATACTATTTAGTTGAAGGTCTTTTTGTTGTACAAGATCCTCAAAGAATGGTGGCCCTAAAGTAGTGAGTCGCCGTTGTGTATGTGCTGGACAAAAACAAAGCAAATGAAAGGCACTTTCATCGTCTTCCTCTCCACAATTCCGAAAAGTTTATTAGAAGGGGAGATTCAATCTTTCCTTTAGTCTTTCTCAGTATTGACATTTAACCTACAGAGTGTGAATCATATAATATTTTCAAGAAATTATAAAAGAGTGAGAAAAGCAAAAAAGGTAAAAAGAGAGTCGCGAAGATGAGATTACTAAAGAAGTGAAATGACATCTATACTAAAACAACATGGGGTGCATGTTGTGATAATCATGCAAGAGTGAGAAAAGTAGAAAAAAGATAAGGAAAAAAACAAAGGAGATGAGGTTACTAGATAAAACAGAACAATGTAGTGCGGATATTAAAATATTTATATGGAAATATTTGGACATAAGCAAAGCCAACTTAATTGACAAATCTTATACTTACATTCATTAATCAAATTTGAATTCAAATTTTTATATCAAAAAAACCAAAGCATTAAATTAAATAAAATTTGTAGGAATATAATTATTTTTTAACAACAAAAAATATTTATATTTATTATTATTTGTTCAACAAAACCTAATCAAAATGTGGTGCTGTTTGAAACGCCCATCAATGCTATTAATTACAGTCTATTTTATTTTAATATTTTACATTATTTAATGAAGTTACAGTGTTAATTCATATTTTTTCTTTGTAATTGAAATCTGATCATTTGCAAAATAACTGAAAAATCTTAATCTCTCTACTTAATTAGTGGTGAATAGATTGAATTGAAATTTAGAGTTCCCACCTACTAATTTAAATGAGAAACTATTTCATATGCTAATATACTTTTTAAACTACCTGCTGCAATAAAATACATCGGTTGATTTTTAGCAAATATTCATACTTACTTACTTAGTATAATGAACGAACAAACAAATAGATAAATGAATAAATTAATATTGAAAGTAATGAAAATAAAAGATATATGTATGAAAGAATATACTCGTTAAAATTTATTTTGAAATCCAACAGATGTTATTATGGAATATTTAAACATTTTCTTTTGAACTATCTGAAAGTAACTTTAGATTTGAAACCACTTTTTGATTATATTATTTAGATACATGAGTTAAAGTCTTTGACTACTTTTACTCCATCATAGGTGAGGTCGCTGAGTCCGGAAACGGATGACGGAGTCAGTAAGAGATGAAAACAAAGCATAATATAAAGATGAAAACTGTTCTAATATATATATACATGTAGATACCTATGTCATTGTACCTATATCATTGTGAAACTAATCATAATAATTTAGGTACGATATTGAAAATACAGATGATTACTAGCGATGACCTTCAAAAGGGAAGGGGTTCAGATTTGTAAGATGATATCCTTGCATTTTTATTTTTTAATATTGTTTTTGTATGTAGTGATGTCTTGGAATTCAAAACTAACTCTTAAATATATCGAACCACTTTACACTACATATAACGAATTTGTTTCTTTTAAATGTTTATCGTATGACGTTTGAGTTAGTTTGCAAAATAAAGCCTTCCGACTTAAATGGGCCGCTCTAAACGCCGAAATAGTAAACTTCCTAAACTTTAAACCACGTAATTCCTAACAGAACTAATGTATCAGGGATGTTTACATCTTAACAGTTGCTTCTTAGTGATTGTTTCTTAGTGATTCCCTGTCGATTATTAATGTTTCAGGAATTTGTGGAACTATTTATAATTGAAAAATTAATAACAGAAGTGCTGTCTAATAATATAGACTTAAATTAAAATAATTAAATTGATTAATTATTAATTGCCACATTCCGGTGCTTTTTAAAAACTATTCAAAAAAGTAATTTTTTCTTTGTTTTTCTAAAAACAGAACTTTTGTTATCAAAATTATCAAGAAACAAAATTTACTTACCGAGTTTACATGTAAAACTAATAAATAGTAATAATATTATTTAAATAAATTATAAAAAACGTACGTCACAATACAACAGTATTGTATGATTTAACTATATAAAATTATTTAACAATTAATTTAGAGTTTAAAATTCACACACGTATCTGAGAAATAATTATCGTGAAATTGATGAGCACTTGCATTAAAAAATTTTTTATCTTATATTTGTTTACTGTACTGTACTGAAATCAGTAGAGCTCTGCTTATCTTTGATTAGTTCCTATAGACTAACTATTAGAATTCGCATACAATGAAAAGAGTAAATCCCCCTTAAACTAGAAATGGCATACAAACCAGACTCCCACATTAACACGGATCTCTGTAATTAATCTCTGTATAGAGACAATGGAATATGACGTCAAAATATCTATCGTAATAGAAGATAATTTAATTTTTACTGATTATAAATAGAAATTACTCTATTTATTCAATTTTATCAATGAAAAGGAAAGTAGTTAATATCTATGGAATCAGTTAACACTTGCTTGTGAATGTATTCATATTTTCTTTACAAACATAATCGCATTAATATTTAAATAACATCGGTTCTCTAACCGCAGATGTGATTATTTTGAGTAAATTATTTTAATTGTTGTAAAAGTATCTTTTTAATTGCTTATAATAGTGTAAATAGTTTTTCAGTTTGCATTTTAACGAATGACAAAAATGCAGATATTTCTCAACGATATTTATGGATTTTCCACTTTATAATATATTTAATAAATTACAATCGTATTAGAATAAAGTAAGTAGGGTTTTATAAAAAATACATGAGAAAATAGTAATGGTAAAATGCGAAAGGCAATAGGCAATAGGCACTACAGTTGTGGTTAGTATTATCGGAACTAGTAGATAGTAAGTAGTAACTAGTAGAAGAGTATTTATTTATTATTGTGTTTAATCAGAATACAATCGAGTTTTAGATTTGAGGTCAATCGTCTATAAAGGCTAGTGTTGATTACGAATCTATTGAAGAATGATTTTGGGCTACTACAAGACATAATGAAGAATCATCGTTAAGTATTTTATATCTCTAGAGATTGAATGTTCCTATGCTTTTTAACTGGAATTATTGGGTTCTACTAATATTCCTTAAAGATTTTTTTTCGTACACTATTTTGCACATAGTGTATGTATGTATGTATACATAAACAAACAAATGTACTTGACAATACTTGAAACAGCGTTATATAGTCAGCCAAATTTTATTAAAATAATCAAATTTTTGTAGTTGTTCTTTCTTTATTACTGTTCGAACCCTTCCAGTTTTCTTTTCATCATAAGACGCGTCACATTCGACAAATAAAATCTACCTTCAACAAATTTAATTTTGAAATTTAAAAAATAGTTCCAAAAATACGAATTTTCTTTTCCTATGAAAAACTACAAACCAAATTATTAGTGATGAGCTTTATTTATTATTCCATATTTGAACATCGACAGCCTTAAACTATTAGCATTTTGGATTAAATCTTGATCAGATTATAAAAAACTTATAATACTCAACAAACTTATTAGACATTATGGATATACATACGGATGCAAACTGTAGATTCTGAGAAGAGTATTCTTACGGCACAGGCAATAAAACTCTGTAAAGTAGGTTGTATACTACTTTTTATTGACACAACAAGGCGTAGAGACCTACTCTAAACCCATAACGGGGTACAATAGACCCGACGGTCGCAGTGCCACATGCCCCAACAATAATAATAACATTAAACATTATATTGCCTAGGTTTTTATATATTTAAGCTATGTGTAAATTGTATCTTGTCTTGATATTGTGTCTAAACATCAGTCCTTACTAAATTATTTTAAAATTGAAAGAAACTTATTGTCAATGTCTAGTCAAATTGAACAAGGAATTGAACAACTTAACAAAATCGGATCCAATTCAGTTCTATGGTAAGGATGCTAATTAATTAGTGTGTATTAAAAACTTTTGGAACTGTGTTCCATTTACAGTTTTATAGAGAATGAGAAGACTGTGTTTAATTCTATTTGTCACGGCCCCTCATTGGCTAATACTGATTTGAAATTATCTTTTTACCAACATGACAGAGTTGTCATCCTTCAAGACTAGTATTAGATTACACTAGTATTATTAGAGGAGTTCATTTTATATTACATAGAGTATTTATTTTTATTACTTGTTTTTTTTGTGTTTCTTCTGGTTTTACGAATGAACAACAATTATTAGTGATATTACAACCCACTATTATTTGTGTTATAGTGTGTTTTGGTGCACTTTATCTTAATCGAACTAAGACCGCAACAATGCTATTTAAAATTAATTAAATTATCTGTCTAATCTAGGCCTAACTTCTGTAAATATACGTATAGACTAAATTAGAACTAAAATGGAGAAGGACAGAAAGCATTGCAGTCAATGCTATTATGTATTAATATTATTGATAAAACTTATTACAGTGAATTGAAACTATGTAAAATATATTTTTTTAGGACTTTTAAATAATTAGCAAAAAAAAAAAACATATATATATATATATAAATATATGTAAAGATACATATATTGATATACACTGTGCTGTCTCAGTATTTCTTTCATAAATTCGGTATTGTAGCTCCTTTGCGAATTCGGTTTCATTATGAAATATTATCAACTCTAAGAGAGTTTCTTAATTTGAAATAGGATGTGAATTTTAAATGTATGTGTTATGACGCATCAGCTCTTCAACAATCTGTAGCCAACACAAATCACCCATAGGAACAAATGCACGCTTGGCATACTAAATACATTCATGTCTTCGATAATTTCATAGGCAGAGGAGTAAAGAGTACATGCCCAGAATTAATTTCGTTAAAACTGCAAGTATAAAACTATTTGAAATTACATCTACAGGAATTAGTTGTTTAATAAATCTCAAATCGGAAGGTTGTGTAAATATAGAAATCAAACGATATTAAATTAAGCCTATAACTTCTCTAAAAAAAATAAATAACTGTTGCAAGATTGACAAACAAATATGAAACATTTTGCCTTAATTGTGCTGCTCTTTGGAGTATGTAGCTCCACGCCTACATTCCATAGATTATTTGCTGGATACGGTGGAGGTGGCGGAGGCTGTGGAGGTGGCTGCGGTGGTGGTGGTGGTAACTATGGTGGTGGTGGTCACGGTGGTTTTGGTGGCGGTGGATTTGGTGGGGGTCTGCCAAGTGTAACAGTTGTGAAAGTACAAAAAGGAGGTGGCGGATTTGGCGGTGGTGGATTTGGTGGTGGCGGTTTTGGTGGTGGAGGTCATGGTGGTCAAGGAGGTGGCGGTTTTGGCGGTGGTCAGCCTGGTGGTTTTGGAGGTGGTGGAGGCGGTGGTTATGGTGGTGCCAGTAGTAGCAGTTTTAGCTCAGCTAGTTCCGGATATGGTGGCGGTGGAGGTGGTTGGGGTGGCAAACCTGGCTTTGGCGGTGGTGGTGGCGGTTGTAATACATGCGGTGGTGGTGGTGGAGGCCATAGTGGCGGTGGTGGTGGCTACGGTTCTGGAGCTTATGCAAGCGCCTCCAGCAGTGCAAGTGCTAAAGCATGGGGAAAATAATTATCAAAATACTTTTTTTACTTTGGATAAAATTTTTTTTAATATTTGTTTTTGATATTAAATGAATTAGTTGACAATCGTATGTAAATAAATAAATAAATCTGAATACATTAATTTTAATAAATGATGTCTTACTTATATTATTTACCATAAATCTTGGCAATAATAATAAATAATTTTATTGCAAGTAATTTACTGCAACAACGACTATTCAACAGATAATTATAGAATTGAATTTCAACGTTTGTTTTGACAAAAAGAAATTAAATTCTTAGTATAAAGAATTGATTTCAATAGAGAGGTTTTTATCCAACAGTAGTTAATTGCAACAACAAAAATTTTTATTATTCTTCATAAATTAAGTTTTTGGCTGACAATACAGCTGTTTTGACTACTACAACTAAATATTTTTTCGCTTAAATTGTACTTAACGATTTAATAGTGTTTTTATCCATAAAATTTGTACACAAAATCCAGCGATATAATTTTATTGTTTTATAGCTGCGGATATTCATGAATTGTACCAAATTTTGACTTATTTATTAATTTAATTAAACGAGTATCTCTAAAAACTGTTGAAATTTGCAAAGAGAATATGAAATGAATTTGTAGAATGTTTCCATCTTCCAATCCAGCATTCTTACGAAATTTGCTCCTTTATTTTTCTAACTTCTAATTTAGCAATATATTTGTTTCACGTTTTTCAAATTTTAAAGTTTTTTATCTAAATATGAGAAAACTACAATTTAATATAATATATATGACTTTACAAATCTAATGTAACTTCAAAACTTTTAACTTGTATCTCAGTTCAGGCTAAAAAAAATGCGTAATCATAATAAACTATTTTCATTGTGTCTGCATTGAGCTTTTAAAGAAATTCCTTTACATATTAAAATATTAATCTAAAAATAAGTGTTTAAATAGACTAAGGTTTACTTATAGCTGCGGATAATAAAAATTTTTTGATATGGTTATTATTAAAATGAATATTATTAAAAATTTTTTTATTTGATTTTTTTCCACTAAGTTTTCAAAACTATTGCTAGCTGACTATTCTGACAACGAATTAAGAAAATAACATATAACAACTTCGAAATATACATTCTCGTTAGCTACCTTTCTTTTTTAATACAACCACGTAATTGTATCTACAGCAGCTTTTAGTACTTTCTTAGGTATATCAAACCACTTTTTCCAAGTTACATTAACCCAAATAAGAAAATCACGTCTCATCAAGCCACGTAACAGATCAAAGTCAACTTTACTTACACTTTTTGTTATGTTTCCGACCATGAACTTCAATAACCCCAGTCAACAGTGAGAAAGAAGAGTCAATCTAAACAACAAAAGCTTAGCTTTTATAATTCAAATGTTTATACCAGTTTGGTTTAGACCAAAAATTTTGGTATAAAAAGCGATAGCAGAAGAAAACATCAAAGCTCTTGTTAAAAATCTTCGCAAAATTTTTTTTAAAGATGAAATACATTTCAAACTTAAATAAAATAAAATTTAAATTTTAATATAAATTTAAAAAAAACTGTTTGAATCTTTAAAGCTTAACAGCAAAGCTCACTGATCACTGATTTCATTTGCACACAAACTAATTTTTAAAATAAAGCCCAGTAGTTTGGCACTGACATTGAGTACAACAAAAGACTTAAGACACAAACTTGCTTCCACAAAATAAGTTTTAATTAAAAAATCTAAACTGAAAACTCATCTACAGACCTTTAAGCTTTTCTGCGTTCAATGTGAGAAAATAAACACATGTAATATATTTTTAGTTTTAGGTAAATATTTATAATTTAAAGTAAAAAGTTTTTCATTTGCCTTTATTTAGTTAACAGATACTCGAAACGAACTCTATATTGTTGCGAGAAGTAACCAACCGTCGCGATTGTCTTACTTGCAGTGATGTTGTACTTTAGTAGCGTAAGTTATGCAAAGAAACATGACGAAAGCAATTATCACATATATAAATTACTTAAATACTTTTCAATGATGTAAAATAAATGTGAAGTCATAATAGTTTAGAAAAAAGAAACCTGCATGCAATAGAAGATACTTTATTTTATTATTGATTTGCTATTTATGTGAACGGAAATTATTTTGCAAATACTGTAATTATCTTATAGAGGAAGAAACTGTTTTTCAACTACCAAGTGTTAACACAATAAAAATTAAATTTTTTATATTGAGTAATTTATTTCTCTAAGAAAATTTTCTGGTTTAACATATCAAAAATATCACGTTAGTTGATTGAGGTACTAATTTTACCACCAACCGGAGGAAGCACTAGCAGAACTGGAAGCACTAGCGCCACCCCAGCCACCGCTACCACCAGCGCCATAACCACCTGAGCCACCGTAGCCACCGCTACCGCCAGCACCATACAAGCCACCTGAACCACCACCAAGACCGCCAGCTCCAGCCCAACCACCGCCGTTTTTCAAGCCTCCACCGAAACCGCCACCGCCATAACCGCCAGCACCGCTACCATAACTACCAGCACCGCCACCATAACCGCCAGCACCGCTACCTGTCCAGCCACTGCTCTTTAAACCACCGCCATAACCTCCAGCACCACCACCATATCCTCCAGCGCCGCCACCATAACCTCCAGCTCCACCACCATAACCGCCAGCACCGCTACCTGACCAGCCACTACTCTTTAGACCGCCACCATAACCTCCAGCGCCACCACCATAACCTCCAGCACCACCACCATAACCTCCAGCGCCGCCACCATAACTGCCACCAATACCGCCAGCACCTCCCCAGCCGCCACCTCCAGAACCACCATACGATTTACCATAAGAGCCACCTAAGCTACCAATAGAGGCGTGTGAGCTGTATGCGCCACCAGGTGCCGAAGCGCTTGCTGCAAAACTGCTGACTCCATGAGAACCACCACCACCATAACGACTAACGCCGCTAAAACCACCACCAGGTCCATGTCCGCCACTACCGTAAGAAGCAAATTTTCGTGCTCCTATGCCACCAAACCCAGCACCACCATGTAAACCACTGATGCTCGAACTAGCAGCAGCACTTGAACTGGCAGCACCAAATCCACCACCACCAAATCCACCGCCACCATGTGACGATCTACCAAATCCACCTCTACCACCGCCGCCTGGCAAATAGCCACCTCCAGCATTTGCTACGGCCAAAGATGCCAAAATACAAACAAAAATCTAAAAATATGAAGAAATATTATAATCCATTTTAATCCAAAAGCTCAATTCCATTACTGACCTTCATATTGAGCTAATCTAGAGATCACAGTTCAGAATAATTCCAATTGGCAAAGCATCCTCATTATATAGCAAATTTTCTCAACTGAAATGCTCACGATGCGTTAATGGTTTTTAACAAAATAATCTTTATTTTTAAGAACAAGAAAATAATTTATTAAGCAAAAAATTGTGATAAAATTACTATAGAAAAAAAACTCGATATATGAATTTTGCAAGCAATTTAAACTTAGTTTTCCGCTCGCCTCGTACGTCGCAATTTCTTTGATTCGATTTCGAAAAAAATCAAACAAATAACAAACTAATACCTTTTTTGTCTGTTTTCAATTATTATTATAATTTTTTATTTTATTTACAAGTTTTTTATTTCATCTGTTATGAGTCTGTTCAGTTCCTACTCGTATAATTGATGATATGCTTAATGACTGCGAAATGGTTCAGTGTCTATATAATTTTATCTCAAGTCTGAGTATGAGAGTATAATTGTCTACTGTGGGGGCTAGTGTTGATAAGTACTTCTACGTTAACACTTTCAACTTATAATTATATTTAATTAATTAACTTTAAATTTTAGTATTTATGATTAATATTTAAATTTTTTTTTTCATTAAAATTAATTAAAAATATTATTGATAATAAGGAAGCACACAAATGTTTAATACATTTTTTGCTCTATACTTTGGTATAGTATATTAAATGATACATGGTATACTTTAGATACAGTCTCACATTTATATCACAAAAAGAGTACAAGTTTATGGCTAAACTAAATATTTTACTATATAAAAAATAAAAAAAAATATTTAAAAAAATATTTTATAGTCAATTTCTTCACTTCAAAACACACTTTCCTCTTATAGAAAAGACTTTCTTTAATAAGATAACAATTATTTTTAGAATTACTTAATATAACTCTATAACTCTACTACTAGAAGTAATGGTTTATATTAGATAGTTTCAATAGTAGAGCCATTGATAGATATCACATTTCACCAAAATTAATTGGTCTAGTCTAATGTTTCTTCTGAAGACTCTTATCCTAGCATTGAGTTCATATAAAATAAATATAATATAATTTCTTATAATATAAGTACTCTAATAATATACTATATTAAAATTGTAGTATCATATATACTATATACCTATTTCTCAAATTTAGCATGGTATCTATGATTGACCAATGAAAATGTCTGATATGATGGATTCTAATCCTAACATTAATTTCACATAAGATAAATATAATATAATTTCTTATAATATAAGTACTCTAATAATATACTATATTATAATTGTAGTATCGTATACGCTATATTCCTATCTCTCAAATTTAGCAGACCATGGTATCTATGAGTGACCAATGAATATGCCTGATATGATGGATTCTAATCCTAACATTTATTTCACATAAGATAAATATAATATAATTTCTTATAATATAAGTACTCTAATAATATACTATATTAAAATTGTAGTATCATATATACTATATACCTATTTCTCAAATTTAGCATGGTATCTATGAATGACCAATGAATATGTCTGATGTGATGGAACATAACATTAATTTCACATAAGATAAATATAATATAATTTCTTATAATATAAGTACTCTAATAATATACTATATTATAATTGTAGTATCATATACGCTATATTCCTATCTCTCAAATTTAGCAGACCGTGTTATCTATGAGTGACCAATGAATATGTCTGATATGATGGATTCATTCCAGATTGGTCTATTGTGTTTGTATTATTGTAATTGAATATAATTGAAATGCTCATTCAAGTTTATCATATAAGGTACTA